CTCTCTATCCTTCCTCCCTCCCTCCATCTCTCAGTCATATTGTCATTGCTATTAGTTCTTTAAATTAAAATGTAAATCATTGATTTATAGAAACTCTTTAGAGCTGCTCAATACAATTCTTACTGTTTATGTGTTGCAAGAATCTTGTCTCAAATGACTTCTTATGAGGAACACTGATCAATTAGATCATGTTAAACTTGATCTTCCTTAGTGTTTAAGAAATCTTCCCCTCCCCAAGCTCTTGAAAATATTGTAGACATCTCTAGAAGTTTTTTTTTTTTAACCTCTTTTTATTAGATGTACAAACTACTTGGAATTTATTTTTATGAAAAATTTGAGGCAAAAGTTGTTTTACTTGATGCCATATGGATACAGTTGCCTTGCTTTTGGTCTTTTTTTATTTTACTGTATTTTTTCCATTGAATTGTTTTCTTGGGGATGTTGAGTTTCTGTTTTTGGTGCCGAGGACTGAAGCCAAGGCTTCCAGCTTGCTAGGCAAGCATTCTACTGCTGAGCCAAATCCCCAGCCCCGCCATATGGATGCAGACACTCATGATTTAATGATCAAGTTCCATTCCTGTGACTAGGTCATTATGTGAATTGGTCACTTGACTTTGGTTTTATTTACATAACTCCTATGTGCAATATTGTAATGTATACCAACATAACAGTCTATAGCACAATTAGTAAAAATTACACATTTATTTATACTGCATAAATAAAATGTGCTGTATAAAAAAGACATGAATTAAGCCTCTATAAATAAAATGTACAGAACTGAACTACAAAAAGATGGGTCATAAGTCCAAACACTGCCTCAGTCATAAATCAGAACAATAATTAAACAGGTAGGTCATTAAAAGAGGAATACCTGCACTGAATTGTTCCAGGAACTATTGAAACTGCCTTTCTCGGCCACCCTGCACTGCCACGACCTTTACCACATATATGGATCTGTCCCAGATCGCACTGTATTCTATTAGTTTATTTATTCATTCTGTTGCCAGTATAGGTTTATCCCTGCAATCATTTAGGTTTTCTTTAATTTTCCATGTTTTATAATTGTATGTGCAAAGATTTTGCATGTTTCCTAGATTTACTTTTAGAAAGCTGGTTATTTTGATGTTACTATAAGTGGTAACTCTCCAACACTTGCTACTTGCTAATAGAAACATAGTTGGTTTTTGTATATTGACCTAGCATCTAGTAATCATGCTAAACTCACCTATCCTAGTAATTTTTTAGATTCTTCCAGGTTTTCTATGTAGGCAATGATGTCTTTCACTCACAAATTGAAATGAAAACTTTATTTCATTCCAATCCTTATGTTTATTTTATTCTTGCCATACTGTACTAGAACATGTTGAAAAATGGCAGTAATGGCTGATCTCATCTCATTCCTGATCTCAGAGGGGAAGTTCTGAACTGCTCATCATTAAGTATCATGCTTTGTAGAAACCTTTTAGTGGGTATCTAAACCTGCATTAAACCTGTATTTGGAAAGCTTTTATCATGTGTAGATGTTGAATTTTTCATGTTATTGTTCAAGAAGTTTACTTTTTTGTTTTATTTAGCCAACATAGTGGAAAACATTGCTTTTTAAAGTGATTAAACTAATTGTATTCTAGAATGAAACCACCTTGATTATTGGATTGTATATATATATTTCATAGGCTTTGTTAATATTTCGTTCTGGATTTTCCCATCTATGGTCATAAGTGGAACTGCTGTATACTTTCCCTTTATTTTGTAATGTTTTTGGCAAGCTTTGGTATCAGTGTTGTTCTGTCTTCCAAAAATGGAATGGAAAGTATTTCTTCTTTTCCAGTTTCTGGAAGTATTTGTTGATGCTTGGCATTATATTTTTCTTAAACATTAGAATTCTCTAACTATGCTAGCTAGGTCCATAGTTTTCTTTTAGGAAAAACATTATGTTATACATCCAATTTCTTTAATAGGTGTGTAGCTGCTTGGTTAGTTGAATTTTTTTTTTTTTTTTAAGAATCTGGACAGATTCTTTTAATAGAAATTTTCAAATTTATTTATTTTTTTCCATAATTTTATTGAGAAACAAATAGCAATGAAACAGTTTCAAATCAAATTGGTAGGACAGTTTCAATAATTAATACATTGCATACTCTCTTCCTAGTGGTTATTTGCTGTACAAGATGCAGACATGATATCCTACTTACAAACACTATTAGAACAAATCCCTCTATTCATTAAGAGAATGTAACTATCTATCCTATCCATTTTGAATACACAGATACAAAATGGACATTCATCTGTATGCCCTTTTTTATTTAGTTCCATCATTTGACTATTATAGGTGTGTGAATTCAGCAAAATATTCTAAGAGTCCAGTGGCATAACACTTTTTATAGTATCCTATGTGTTAGATATATACTAATTTTTTCTCATTCCTGATACTTTTCATTTGTGCCTCCTCTTGTTTGCACTTATTTATTTACTTATTTCTCCTCTTTAGTCTTGCCAAGGCTTGTCAGTTTTGTAGATCATTTTGGAGAGTCCATATTTGGCTTTATTAATGCCCTCTTTTTAATTTTCTTTCTTTTTGTTTTTTGTACTGGAAGTTGAAGCTGGGGCCTTCACAGTAAACTGCATCTCCAGCCCTTTTATTTATTTTTCGTTTTATGTGTTTGGTACAAGGTCTCACAGCTTGGACTCATACTGATCCTCCTGTTTTCAGCCTCCCCAGAGCTAGGATCACAGGCGTGCACCACCATACCTGAACTAGGTCGCTGGCTCAGCGTGCCCCAGGGGGTAGGGCCAGCGCAGCATGGTGGACCAAGGATTGAACCCTGGTCCCTGTGCTTGCTAAAGCAGGCACTTAGTCCGCTGAGCTATCACTGGCCCTTCCAGCCCTTTTAAAAATATTAAAATTTTGAGATAGGGTCATGATAAGTCACTGAGTTGCCCATGCTGGGTTTGAGTTTGTAATCCTGCCTTAACCTCCCAGTTTTGGAATAATAGCTATGTGGACTTAATGATACATGTGTGGATTTTAGTTCTGTATTTTTATGACTTTTTTTCTTTTAATAAATTTCTGCTTTTATGTTTTCTTGCTACTTTGGATTTAATTTGATATTCTTGTTCAAACTTCTTGAATTGGAGAAATCCTAACTTCTTTGAAGTTTAGCTCATTAATTTTCAGCCTTTGTTGCTTTTTGGTACCAGGAATTGAACTTAGGGCCTTGTGTTTGCCAATGCGGGTGCTGTGCTGCTGAGCTAAGACCCCACCCAGCCCATTCTTTCTTAAATATATGTATTTAAGAGGGAAAAAATGATAAACAGGAAGCAAAGCTTTGTAAATAAGGAAGGGAAGAGGGGTAGAAGACAGGAGAGGGGAATGGAAAAAAAGAAGAACTAAGATATATCATGTACTTTTGCAAATTCCCCATGAGTGTGATCATGATGCATATATAAATTGTACCAATAAAATGAATTATAAAAAGATATGTATCTAAGTCCATACATTTTCTTCTAAGAATTTAATTTAGCTGGATCCCCAAAATTTTGACAGGTAGTGTTTTCCTTATTCAGCTAAACATATTTTCTAATATCCATTGTGATTTTGTTTTTTACAGAAATGTTACCTGTAAGGCTGTTTCCTAATTTCTAATTTACAGTGGCTACATATCTTTTCACTAATGATTTCTAGCTTAATTGCACTGTAGTCAAGAGCACACTCTAGGATTTCAGTCCTTTGACATTTGTTCAGACTTTTTTCAATGGCCAACCAGATAGTATATTTTTAAGTATTCAGTGTGTGTGAAATGAAAGAGGATTCTGCATTCTTATTTGAGTATTTTATGTATGTCTATTAGGTTAGGTGTTTTTTTTTAAATCATGTATTTAAAATTTTCTGTTTTCATTAATTATTCTTTTTTGTTTGTTTGCTACATTAGTGATTAAGAGAAGTGTGTTAGTTTCCAAAAATAATTGTAGATTTTTCAATTTTCCTTTTAGTTCTGTTAATGTTTGTTGTATCTATTTTGAGGCTTTGTTATTCAGTGCATAAAAATTTAGAACTTTTTTTTTGTGTGTGTGACACCAGGAACTGAACTTGGAATCTTGTGCTTTCCAGGCAGGCATTTGTGTCACTGAGCTATATTCCCAGCCCAAAATTTATGATTGTCATATGTCCTTCATATAAGCTTTTGTCAATAAAAAGTATCTTTTTTTTCTGGCATCACTCATTCACTTTTTAATAACTGGTTTTGAGGTAATCAGATATTTAAAAAAATAACATTGTAAGGGCCAGCGAGATAACTCAGTGGATTAAGCATCTGCTTAGGCAAGTGCAGCCCCATCCCTGGGTGCTCACCTGGCCACCAAGATCCAGCATGGTGGCACACACATGTAATCCCAGTGCTGGGGAGGCTGAAAATAGGAGGATCACTAGGACTCCGAGCTGTATAGTGAGACCCTATACCAAATACATCAAAAAACCAAAAAAAGTTGTGTCTCCTTCCATTTCTTTAGGATAACTTCTATATTGTGTGCACCTGTTTGTTTCTGTTTGTTTTGGCAGTGGTACTGGGGATCACACTCAGGGCCTTGAACATGCTAGCCAAACAAGTATTCTACCACTGAGTCATGTCCTCAGCTCACTGCTAAAGATTTAGATGTAAAAGTGAGACTATTAGAAGAAAACTTAGGTAAATTATTTTATAACCTGAGAGGAGGCATGTTTTCTAACTATACTCCAGATGTAGAACTAACAAGCAAAAACATGCATAAACTTGGCTGTGATATATTAATAGCAGTCAAAAAATTTGTTTTCATGGCAAAGTATACTTGGCAGTAGCAAACGCTAGGATAATAGCAAAGTACAAGAAATCTTTTCAGCTTATAGGCAAAAGGTCATAGAACCAATATATATAGAGAGCTTCTAAAATTAGAGAACACCACTAACCTGAGACTCAGTTTAAATCTGCATCTCTAATCAGGCATCAGTATTTCATAGAAAAAGAAATGCAAATGGCTCTTGATTATAATAACCTCTCTCTGAAAATCTTTTGAGTCTTGATTATTTGGTACATTTATATTTAATGTAATTTCTGATATATTTGGGTTTACATCTCTATCTTAACAGGTGTTTCCTATTTGTCCCACTTGCTCTGTATTTCTCCCATTTTTCCTGCCTTCTATTTTCAATTTCTCTTTTCCCTCTTCTCCTCCTCCCCCTCCTCCTTCTCCTTCTTCCTTGTGCTTGCCATTTATGCCACTAAGCTATCTCCCCCAGCCTCAACTTCTATTCTTTAATGCTACCCTAAAATCTACAGAATGAATCCTTGACTTACCACAGTTAATATAAATGTATACTTTAACTCATTTCAGAAAAGACCAAGATATACTTCTATTCCATGTATGCCTTCCAATCTATGTATTACTATTGTCATGTATCTTAGTCTATATATTTAAGTTCTATCAAATATAATTATTCTTGTTTTATAAGTTAATAGTAATTGATTTGTATGTACCCACCTATCTACCTTTCCTTTGCCCTTTTCTGAATTTCTAAGCTTCTTTCTCAGATAATTTTCCTTCACCTGGAAGAACGCTTTTGAAGGTAACAACTGCCTTTACTATGCAGGTCTCATAGGAATCTAACTTACTCAAGAACATATGAGTGGTCATGAACATTTTTTTTTTTTTTTTTTTGGCAGAATTAGGGATTGAATTAAGGTCCTTGTGCTTGCCAGGGAAATGCTTATTCTACTGAGGCACCTCCCCAGCCCTGTCATGAGCATTTAAATCAACCATTCATCACTTTCCTTAGAAAAGGAAGGATTTCTTCCAAAAGACGATTGTTTTCATTTGTGTGCCACAATTTCAATTACTACCTAACTTTATTAACCTGAGGGTCATTTGATTTTAACTGAGCTGAAAACTTACTTTGAGGAACTGTAGCAGAGGCTCATCCATGCTGTGATAATCACTAGGCCAGACAGCTCCCTAAAAAATAGCATATATTTCAACTTTTGAAGTGACTGCAACATCGCTTATTTCAGGTCAGTGGAAGGAACAGTATAAACAAGAAACAATCCTGGATTTGATTTGTTATTTTTACATTTTCAGAGGTGTAACTGTAGGATGAGCTCAAGGCAATGTACAACTGGGCTTTCGTTTGCATCAATCATTACAGTATGTGCTTCTAGCTCTGTGTGCTGTAAGACCATATCTTTTACACAGAATAAAGAACAAGCATATTCAGCTTTGGTGCCAGGGGAAGCCCCTCCTTGGGTTCACTGTACCTCCTTGCCTTCAGGTTGGAGGCAATTCAGCCCATTTGATCTGCATTCCTATCTGCAGACCCAGCTGGACTGCTTCTCCAATTTTCCATGGGCAGCAAAGTAGTACCTTATCCATGATTTCTAACTTATAGGTCTCTGAAGGTTGAAGTTGGTGTCAGCATAGAGGTTTTAAAAAAGGGTTTTTTTTTAAATAAAATTAAGAGGTATGGGTGGGAAGAAGCAAAGGAAGAGGTGATAAAGAAGGATATCTGGCCATGACAGAGGAGATGACATGAGATACATTAAGGCAAAGCTAGCAAAAAGCTGACTTAAAATACTGGTCTCTGAGCTGGTGGATCACCCTTGTAGTTAAGAGTGCTTTTTTGTCAGTGCTGAATCACAGTGCTGCCAGAGAGTTCACCTCATTAGATTGGACTATTACTGCGTGTACTCTTGCTGGTTGCCAGGAGGTCAAGGTCGGAGACCTTGAGAGTAATATAACGAAATAGGTAAAGATCGCTGGTAGTAGTAATAATGGAGCTGGACACACAGGGCTGGATTAGAATTCCGGGTCCATCATTTCTTCAGCTTATGAACCATATAATACCTTCCCTTCTTTGCATGGTACAGGTAGAGGAATTAAATTATTACTGTAAACAGATGAGGTTGTAAAGGAGTGACAGATTTCTCAGTGCTCCCCCTACTCCTGCCCCCAAAACAAGAGTCACTGCTCACCTGCCTTCTTCCTCGTGTAGGATACTGTGCTGTGCGTGTAGCAAGAGGGAGCACGCCAAGCCGGCAGCCCACACCAGGCAGAACAAGATGTGTGCTGCAGAAACACTCTTCCAAATAAAGCTACCTAAAAGGAGATATCCCGATGTTATCAGTCACGGAATTCACATCCAGAAAAATCATCTCTGTTCCTGTTTTGTCATAATTTGCTTTCAGGAGAGGCACTCAAGAAAAAAACTTTTTTTGAGGGACAACTTAAAAGATTAGGCCACTAATCATAGCACAAGTGGACACATTCCTTTTCCTGTGATAATTACCGTTATTTTCTTTGGGTTCCCACACCCCTAGTCCATGTTGCCAGTGAAATGGACTTCAGGCAACCGAGTATTTATCACCTTAAACACAGTCATTTAGCTCAGACAAACAGATGATTCTTTTTTATATATGATAATTCATTTCTGATACTTTGAAAGAGTAAAGAAACCACCTAGCTGGCATGGTGGCACACACCTGTAATCCCAGCACCCAAGTGACTAAGGCAGGAGGACTCCAAGCTCCATCCATGCGGATGTAAGCCCGCATGCTGGGGTAATTTAGTGATGTGGCAAGACCCTGTCTCAAAGTAAAAAACAAAAAAATCTTGGGGATGTGGCTCTGTGGAAGTGCAGAGTTCAATCCCCACTACTAAAAAGAGAAAAAATAATAGAGGAAGGGAGGGAGGGAATCTATATTTTCTGAGGTTTAATGTCCTAAAGTGTGACCTGGGAACCCAGGGCTATGACCTGAAGGTCAAAAGTAAATTCAGGGGTGGGGAGATGGCTCAGTAGAATAAGCACTTGCCTGGCAAGCACAAGGGTCTGAGTTCAATCCCCAGCTCGGGGGGGGGGGGGGAGAAGAAGAAGTGAATTCAGGGTGGTAGACAGCTGAATGCGGAGGTGGACAGAAGCCAAGGTGCTGTGTGCATCAGTGCCTGACATCAGCACCAGCCACAGCCTTTCCAGAAAATTACAGCCGTCCCTCACTTATTGCGGACCTTATTAAGGCTTTATAGACCCTTCTCACACTCTTATAAACCTTTCTCACACTTTTAAAAACACTTCTAATGTTCTAAACATTTTCTAAACTCGTAAACCTAATTTTAACAACAAATATATTGTACCATATAGTACGCATTCATCCGTTAAAGATATATTATAAAGTGTATTTTATTTCGATTTAATATTCTTTTAATATGCTAGAATTAACATTTTAAATATATTTTTATATTTAAAAATTTTAGGCAAAAATCATTAAAACCATAAATACTATGCATATAAATACATATACAATACTGTACACTACCACAGAATCCCAATCCCACAACATAGCGAAAAATCTGTGATAAGTAATTTAGATTAATATTTTTTGAAAACCCATGAAACAGTGAGTCTGTGAAAGCTGAGCCATAAGATAGCAAGGGACTACTGTATACCAGTGTATTTTCTTTTTAGCTCACAGTACGTGTGAGTTTAGTCTTCCCTTTTCCTGGCTTATAATCAAAGCCCTACCTCAGTGATCCACCGTAGAGTCAGAAAGCCAACCAGGACCCTAATCAAGGAACACAGCCACCTAGGGAACCAGGATTTTCCAAGGTGAGAAGCCATAGTCTTTATCCTAAGGCTTCTGAGAACTTTCGGGCCCCACATGTGGAAGCTGCTTTAATTAAATTTTCTGTTAAGAATTATCTTTCAGGGTTAATAGTTTCTATTAATAAGAAAATGTTAACCGTTGTAACATATACTTTCTCTTCCCATTAGAAGGCAGCATGTCATAGTATAAAACTAACTTAAATTTTTTGAGTCTCTTAGGGTCACAAAAGATTTGCCTAGCATTGACTAGGTAATCTGTAAGTAATAAAGTTCTCTTTAAAGTGGATGTTTCACCTACATACCCAGCTGCAGACATAAAAAGTCCAAGAAGCAGGTTACTGAACAAATAGAAGATAAAGCTTCTGTTTACAGCCACCTATCATATGGCCGTATTCCTGTGGTCTCAACACTTGTGTCTCCCTCAAGTTCATAGGCTGAAGTCTTAACCCCTACGATGACAGCAATGGAAGGTAATCAGCTTATGAAGAGGAGCTCTCCAGAGGAAACTAGGGCCCTTATAAAACAGGCCTGAAGTATACCTTGTCCCTTCAACTATGAGAAGACAAAGAGAAGAGATACCCATGACTAGAAACAGGCTCTCACTAAACACCAAATTATTTGCTAATGCCTTGATCTTGGATCTCCTAGACTCTAGAAATAGGACAATTAAATTTCTGTTGCTTATGAACAACCCAGTTTATGGTATTTTTGCTGTAGCAACTTGAAAATTAAGACACACCTATAAGGTAGGCTTATGCAAAGGTGTGTAGGACAGGATTCCTCTTTGAGGGACTTAAGAGCTGCTTTGAGGGAAGCACATACCCTACATGGCTGCAGGTACTGTGGCAGCATGTAGATTAGAAAGAGATATTTAATGAAATTCTAGATTTCTCATAGATATTAACTTCTATATATAAGTGACACTTCATCTACAGACTTCAAATAAATTAAGAAAATAATTCATAGGCATGGTGTTGCTCTAAAAAGGATTTATAAAGAAAGTCAGTGGGTCTGGGTTGTATATAGTAGATATATAACAGGCAGCGATGGCCTCTGACTATGAGAACACAAGAAGTGACTTAGATTGTTGATTATACACGAGTTTGGTGGCTAAGGAAATCAATACAGTGACTGAACCCCTTCTCTCATGAGTAGACTGCATAATCCACATCCCACACTAGGCTGAGCGGTCTTGGGGCCAAATTGATGAAGAATGGCTAGGTGTAGCAAGTCCTTCTCACAGTTTCCTACAGAGAGTTAAGGATGATCTACATTCCAATGAGCTCCTCTTACTATCAGAAATGAGAAGGAATGCTGAGGGTCCTGTTTTTTTCCTGATAGTTTGGCAGGTAGAACCTCATTACAAGAAAATCTGATTTTCTGGATCTCCAGTCAGAATCCAAGTTTCATACCGGTGACAAGTGGGTTAAATCCAACAAGCAGGGTCAGCACAGCAGGTATCATGTACACCACCTGTTAGCAAAGAGAGGAAACACAGGGGTGAGCAGTGTGCCCAGGACACAGGATGTTGACAGGTATCTAGGAAGTGAAGAAACGTGAGATCAGTGGTTGTAGAGTTCCACAGTTTCAGCAGCTGTTGAGGTAGGAATCCGTACTCTTATGTGACCTGATAATCACATCAAGCTGTAATTCTGTCTCCTTTTTCCTGACTGTTGGTTATTCCAGGAAAGACTCAAACATCAATACTGGCTTCACCCTCAAGCTCAAGCACTAAGTTTTGTTCTGCAGACATGTTGACTTCCTAAGCTCTCCAAACAACTCCATGCCCACACAGCCATCCCCACACGTGGGGCAGAGGGGCAGTGATAGTCACCTAGATGACCTTGCTGAGTTTGACCTCATAGAACATCTGGTCCCATGGTCCAGCTCTGCAAGTGAAACCATAACGAATGGATTGGATGTGCCACTTACTGAGACCCAGCTCTTCACTTTGAAACTGCTAAGTTGGCTAGGAAGACAGAAGACTGGCCCTGAGGTCGTCTTATTCACAAGCTCTGTAGCAAGCAATTGCTGGCCAGACTTGGTATTGTGTTATGAGGGTGTTGTGGGCAGATGGAAGGTAGGGAGGGTGGGTTTATGAGAAGTCTGGAGATTTTTCAAGAAATGTACTTGCTTAACCACATCAGCTGTATTGCTAATGTCAGGAGCTTTTAGTTTATTTGGAAGTTGTAAGAGCTGCACATTTTAAACGATTTGTTTTTGCTTTAAAGACATGTCTGTCTTGACCTTGGGCACAGAAACATTTGGATTACAGACCCTTTGTTCATCTTTTCTTCTCTGTCCTTAATGATTACTGGAACAACAGCTATTATTGATGTTTGCAAGGCAGGTATTCTATAAAGGTGGACAGCTATGCTCCCTAGGGCTAACCCTGCACTTCCCAGACTTTAATGTGCCTGGGTCTTAAAACTCAATTTCCAGTTTGGGCAGTTTGAGGGGAGAGCTTTTCTAACAAGTTCCCAGAGGTGCTACTGCAGTTGCTCCAAGGATCATGAAGAACTAAGGAGCTAGCCCCAGACCCCCACTCTGTGGAAAGTGACACTCAGCTACACACACACACACACACACACACACACGAATGAGAATCCAAGAATGACAAAATGCAAGAGTCCAAGAAAGTGAAAGATAAACACACACAACATACAGTATTTAATTGTGCTCTCAAGAAATGTTTGACAGAGGTTTTTAACATGTGCATTCAATGTGTCATACATCTGTCATTAATAGATGAAGAGATCTACACAATGTTTCAGTGCATTGTACACATATGAATGAAAAAGTCCTTTAAGCTAAGGAGCAGTTTCACTTGACAGTTCTGACATTTTAAGTGCATTTCTGTATCTTTTTAAATTTATTTATTTGGTACAGGATCTCACTATGCAGCTCAGACTCATAGTGATCCTCCTGTTTTTCAAAGAGACATTGTTTGGAGGTAGTTTTCGAAGTTGGGGAGACTGTGACACAGAGATCTGGGGCTGAGATGCAGGGACCATCGCTGTTGGGCTGGTTTCGAAGACCATGCTGGGACTGGAGCCACAGTGGGGAAGGCCTGAAATCCAAGTGGTGTTTCAATTTAAGAGAGTTTAGGGGAGATCAAAAGATTTCATACCAGACAGTGACATAAGAGGGGTCCTAGGAACACAGGAGGTGAAAAGCAGACACAAGAGTGGGAAGCTGTTCCATAGCGAGTAGGGGAGCCAGAAGTGGGAATGAGGGAGGTTGTCAGGATGTGGGGCCTATTCTTCTATTAGGTCACCTAGACATGAAGTGGAAGGTAGGGTGGAAGGCACTGTACAGATAAACTGGATCTAGATAGTTTCTTTGTGTGGGAGTGTGGGGGTTGGAGACAGGGTCTCATTATGTAGTTCATGCTGGTTCTTCTTGTTGGGTTCCTTTTAAATTTTTTTATTTTGTTTGAGGGGCTCTCAAAGGCTGTGGTAAGGAACAGATAGATGTTAAAGATGACTGAGGTTTTAAGCAAGGATGATTCAGTGAACATTCTGAGAACAGAAATGGCTAAGTCAGGAGGAGGAACAGGTTTGGGAGGGAAAGATGCTGGGGAGAACCTCAGGCCTATTTGAGGCATAATGCCATGCTAGTTGCAGATACAATAGACTCCTTTACAAATTCAGTATTGTTCTGGATGTCTTGACACTAGGCACTAGACTTTCACATCAAAATCCCCAATGCTTTCATTTATTGCTTATCTGTACATGGTCAGTAGCCCTCCAAATCCTGAAAGTCACCTGCTTGTTGATAGATACTACGTAAGATTACACATTGGTACTGAAAGACAGGGCAAGGTTCAGATGTTTCAGGGAATGTACGGCATGGTCTTCCCCCCTTGCAACTATTCAATTCAAAGCACTAGCTACCTGAATACAGTAGGTTTCATGGACTTTAATTAGTTTCTATAAAAATAAATCACTGAGTTAGCAGAACCACAGAACTTAAGCCTGCCACTCAAATACTCACTCGAGTTTCTGACTGCAAACTTATGAGACCATTCAACTGACCTCGAGAGGCCACCCCTGCTGAAGGAATACAGTGTTTTCTGGGTGTCTGTGTAACACTGGTTCCAGGACATTCCCCCACTCAACAGAACCACACTAAAATCTTTGGATGCTCAAGTATCTGCATATAAACCACACACTTCCTTTGGATGGTTGTCCAAAAGGGTAGCAATTATGCATGTAAAGTGGCTAGCACAGTGTAGGCACTTAGTATAGGAGAGGCATTATTATTGCTTTGTAAAACATTATATTATTAATTCTTTTAATTTCACTAAAGTGCTGAATTGCCCAGGTTAGGCTTGAATTTGAGACTCTGCAGCCTCAGCTTCCTCGAGTGCTGGCCTTATTGGTGCTAACAACCAATTCCAGTTTCTTGCTGTTATTAAGCCTGCTGTAATGAATGTGATGAGGTGTGCTCGGATATCTGTCTGCTGTGGGAATACCTGTGTCTCCGGAAAGTTCAGAATTTACATACACACACACACACATACACACACACACATACACACACACACGCACACACCCCTCTCCCCACCCTAAAGAAAAAAGGTAGGGAAAAGAATAGCAAAGGTTTTGATTTATAAGATAGTAAGGGATGCAAAGAGAAGCGGGTGTTTCTGTGCACGGGACCATTCTTGAGATTCAGGATGGTTCTGAAAGCAGTTCGCACTCACCACCCACAGCTCAGCGTCCGGGTCGTTGACCTGGAAGGCCAGAGACCAGCTGTTAGCAGACTGCACGGTCCGACTCCCTGCCCTCTCTGCCCCTCTATTCATTTGCTAAGAGCGGGTCGCGGTAGACCCTGGGGCGTTAGGCCGAGAGGAGACTCGGGCAGCGCAGGAGGGCAGCTGCGGGGGCTCAGCGCACACCCCAGGCGGGCCCCGCACAGCCACGCGTTTTTAAAAGAACAGCAGGAGACCCTGAAGAGGACGCTCCAAAGCTGGCCGAGCACTTTGGGCCCCCGGGTTCTAGAGAGGCGGACGCTCGTTCGGGGACCCCCAGGCCGGCAGCGACTGGGCGGGGCTGGTGCAGCGCCCTCCTCCCGGCACTGGCTCGAGTCCTCGCTGCAGCTTCCCGCCCGCTCTGCGCCCAGCGCCCCTGACCTGCACGAAGGCTGCCAGCGCGAAGAAAGCGGCCATGAGCGCGTTGCAGGTCCGCCACAGCCCGACCGCCCAGCGAGCCCCGCGACCCGGGTCGGCCGCCATGCCCGGCTGTCCCGCGCCTCCCGCCCCGCCCCGCCCCGCGCCTCC